AGCTCTTCAGGCTGGTTAAAAATTACCATAAAATCCCTTCCTAGTGAAATTTTACAACGCAAATCATTAGCAGGTGAAATTGTTATGGATGCACTACCATTAATAAGATTATGTTAAACAGGAAGATTTGGCCCATGTATGTTTAGAGTAATTTGATAATGAATCACTGCAAATTTCTGTTGGTTTTAACAACTGTTAAATTCTACATCACTTTCCCATATTGATCTTACATGCTCTGTTGTTTTCTCTGTTTTTTAACAGGGAGCTCCTCCCTTCACCATATGGTCCAGCCGCTATCCACAGTTTTCTCTGCTTATTTCACCATCATGTAACACTCTCCTCTTCTGGGAACTAGATGACACAGTGACATGCGAATGTTGCTCAAAGTGCAACATGAATTTCTGCTGATTTTTCTGGCACAGTACAGTGGGAGCTGACCAGGGCAGCCTCCAGCATAAAACATCTGCTCTGCAGCCTTGTTTGCCTTCCAAAATCCTCCATAGTTGTAGAGACCAACCTGCACAGAATTGGCACAGAGACACTCTGGGTTCCCAGCAGAGGCAAAACCTTCACTGGTGTTTCCAGTGAGTATTACAAACTACTGTGCTGAACTTTGAATTCTCTGGGTGCTTCTTGTTGACCACATCCCATGTCAACTTGTAGTCATCTGAGTATCCACTCGGAAGATGTCTGAAGTAAGTGTTTAAGAGAAGCAAATCCATATATGCCATCCAGCAACCTAAAAATGTGGCATTTCTGGTAAGATCCTTATTTACAGAAAGAATTTTGCAAGGATTCACCAACCATTAAAAATCATGTCCATGGAGGAAATCCATTATTCTTAATCTCATCTCATTTTACATGTTCAGAAAGAACTGTAAAATGTCTAGCATTCATACTTTTAAACTATGAGCCTCACTCTGCACAAGTTAATTGGGCAAAAGACCTATTGCCACTTTACACTAAGAGAATTGGGTCTCTGCTGATTTTTAAAAGTCTTGTTTCCTTTAGTCGCACAAAACACAGCTACAAGCTGATAAAAAACCTCCCCACTTTCAACCACATTTTCAGAGAACAGCTGAGTTTGATGAATTTCCCTGAAGTGGTTAAAAGAATGATCTTATTTTTCTCTCTGTAGGAGTAATTACTTTGCCAGGCATTCAATAATCTTGTCCTGACACAAATCATATTTGCAGTTTGATGAGATTTCAGTATTGCTATAAGATTAAAGAAGTCAACACTTATTTTATATTAAGATGTGCTGCATTCAACATTTTGTTTTTATTTGTGGTGAAACATATTTCCATGGGTAAAAGCATTTCCTCTGATGCTGATGCCCAAGTAGGAAAGAGGAAAAATGAGTACAAGCCCTCCTAAGATTACAACCTTAATTTAAGTCCCTCGTGGACATCAAAACTATCTCATACCTTCCTTGGGGCAAAACCCCCTTGTATCTCCCAGACAGCTGTCAAAGTCCGCAGCTCTGCGATTCCTGTTGTTTCTCGACAATGAAAAACCCTGCTGTATCTTGAGCTTTTGAAAGAGTGGCAAGAAGAAGCTGAACTGAATCTAACAGTAACAACTGGAATCACGGAATATTGCATATTTTGCACATGTGTTGAATGTTCTGGTGTAGGAAGGCAATGAATGGGGTGAGCTCAACAAGGTGCCACGGCACCCCTGTAGTATCCCAACTCCTGAGAGCTGCATCTAACAATCACATGGATCTGGGAAGACAGTACAGTAGAAAATATGTATTATATGTGGGACTTAGCACAAAAATTAGCATTGAACTCTGCACTCGCCAATTGAAAGAGGCAGGTGCTGCCAGCGAAGGAGATAAAAATGCCCTTCTTTCATACAGGCCAGCTGTCTCACAAACATATTTCACATGTGATTAAGGAGGAGTAGAGGTAACATTTTCACACAAAATAAGGTAAAATTTTTGGTAAAGACCTACTTTGCAGAGGGGTTGGAAGGAGTTGGAGAAGTTTTCTATAGCCTGTGTGAATTGTTCAGATCAGGATTTTAAAATGCACAGCTCCATGGAGACCTCACCAAGAATTCCTGACTGGAAAACCCACCGCACTCTACTGCTGCGGCTGCCAAAAAGCAGACAGTGAAAAAAAAATATGTCTTTTCCCATCAGTAAGAGTAATAATTCCCTTCCCCAAGCCCATGTGAGTAGCCCACAATTGTTAACTAGTCTAGGCAAAACAAGTAAGGTTGTGTCTCTGTTTTCAGAAAATCTGACAGCATGAAGAATTGAGATTGACATTAAAGTTCCACAAAAATAGACTAAAAAGCTTGGTGAGAGAGAAAATACGAGGAGAATAGTTCATTGGATTGAGTACTGAGTGAGAAAGGGAACAGGGAGTCAGGTAAAAATGAGGGTGAGTTTTCAAGCCATGAAGACACTTAAAGAGTTTGTAGAGCAAACCAAGAGGTAATGAAGGACAGAAGAGCTTGGTGTCATTTTGGCAGAGGGCTAAATGAAAAATGGCTACAGTGCATGATTTAACTGAAGTTAGGCAGCAAAGGCTTGGAAAGTAAAGACAGGGGGAAAATGGATGATTGAAAAACAATTTTGTAAAAAACTCCAGAATATAAAACTTCTAGTAACTAAAGCCTTAGCTAGTTCCACTATCTGGAAAACAGGATTTTTTTAGTGTTGCTTCTTCCAGAAATTTCATTGTATAAAAATCTGGTCTGTATTTTTCAAAAGCCTAAATATAGGAGGGGAAAATATTCTCTGTCAGAGAGCCTTTTTTGATTAGTAAAGAAATGCAATGGTAAAATAAACCATTCAGTATTGTGGAAATACTTGTGAAATAGCTGAAGCACATAGTAAAGACCAAACCTGCCATATCTGCTTCCAGTTCAAATCCACAACAAAGGTGGTGGCGGTTTTGAACACCTCAAAATGTGTGCAGTGATTGAACATGATATAATGATCAAATGTCAGCCTTAGCTATTGTGAAATGGGTATTCCCCACAAGTCCTGACTATGTTCAGTCTCTGTTCTCATTTCCTGAGAGAGGAAGAAGTACCATGATATGATCAAGGACCTCTTTGTGGAAATAGGGTTAGGGGTCTTGGCAAATCAAGGTACATTCATCTGGTTAACCCCTCTGACACACACTTGGTACCCAGAAATCATTTGTACCAGTTGAGTTTCTCTAATTGCTTACAGATCCAGAAGAAGTTTGTTTCACTAAAATTTATCTGTCTCCAGCAATAACCCTGTTTGGTGCAGAACTCACTTCTGTTTTAGATTTTCAGGGATAGAAAGAAAGAAAGAAAGAAAATATATATTAGGTCTTGGTTCCTTTGGTCATAAAATTACCCTAAGTATACATTCTGACAGTTTAAACTGTCAGAAAGGAAAGAAGAAACTGTTTCTTGATACTGATGAATGTTTTCCCTTGTAATCTAACAACTAGAAACTGAATGGGTGTGTGGTTAATTTTAGACCCAAATCAAATACAGATCCCAAACCAATGTCTTACAGTCCTTTCATTATCTGAAAATAAAAGGCAAAAAAACCCAGCTGTCATAAATAAGTAATTATTTTAATTTTAATGCCATACTTCGTGACCTGACAGCAATTCTCCTAGTGGAACTCTGTCCTTTCACTTATCTGGTTAGGGGGAAAAAAAAAAAGAATAAATCATATTAAAGTAATTGCACATGTACATGAATTCCCTGGAAACAAGATATCTTCACGCTGAAACAACTAGAGGCTCTCCTCGCAGCCTTAACTCCGGGGAGATCTAGAGGGTGAAAATCACTGTTAAAACTCATGAGGAATCACATGCCGCCGTCGAAGAAAGGAACACGCGGATTTTCACCTCACTGACTTCGAGCTATTTTGCTGGATTTACAGCGTAGCCCGCTCCCGCGGTCCGTCCGTCCCAGCCCTGATGCTCTGAGAGGTCAGCGGGGCGCGGGAGCAGAAGGGGCCGGGAAGAGCGGAAAGCACGAGGGCGCGGAGGGTCGGAATCAGGGGCCAGTGGCTCGGGCCCCCCGCGGGCCGTCCGCAGGCAGGGGCCGAGCGCCCCGGCGGGCTCTGCGGGCGCGGCGGGGACGCGGCGTGCAGGGAGCGCAGCGGCGGGGGCGGCGCGGGGCCCCCGGGCGGCGGGCGGGGAGCGGTGCCCGGCGCAGCCCCCGCACCGCCCCGCGGCCGGGCCGGCAGGATTACCGCCGGCGGCAGCGGCGGGGGGCCTCGGCGCAGGGACGGGAGAGGGGGATTAGCGTATTAGCGCCGCTTGCTCCTGCTCCCGGCTGGATCGGCTCCGAGACAGGGATTAGCGCAGCCAGCGACCACCGAGGCGGGACTGAGACGGTGGGAAGGGAGAAAAGGCGACAAGAGGACGGCCAGCTGCAGCCCCCGTCCCCGCTTTCCCCGGGGGACGCGGGGATGGGCCCGAGGTGGAACGGCCCGCCCCGGCCCCGTGCGCGGGGCTTCGCTGCCGCCCCGGGCTCCGCAGCAGCCCTAGATCCTGCGGAGAAGCGGCGAGTCCTTCGGGGGGCTGCAGCCGGCTGCCCCTGTCCCGCCCCGTGCTCTCGCCGCTGCCGCGGGCGTCTCCCCGCTCCTCGCCGCCTCTCCGCGCCCTGCCGGCGCGGAACGACCGTGATGGCTGGAGGCGGCGACAGCTCCGAGAAAACGGGCGATGGCAGGGGGCGGCGAGTCCCTTCCGTAGACACCTGCTCTACGTAAGCCCAGTGACGCTCGGCACCAGCCCCAAGGTGCCGCTGGCAGCAGCTCCGCCCACAGCGAGCCCCAGACCGACGCGCGGCCGCCCCGCTCCGCGCTGCCCGGGCTCCCTCACGCCTCGCCCGGATCCCCTCACGCCTCGCCCGGCCCCGCCCCCAGCCCCGCCCCCTGCGGGGCGGGGCGGCCGCGCGCGGGCCCCGCCCGTGGCGGTGGGCGGGGCGGGGCGGGGAGCGGGGCGCGCCCGCCCGTCCGCCGCGCTCCAGTCCGGGCTTTGTCTCCGCCTCCGCCGGCGGAGCCGCGTCCCGGGGACAGCGGGAGGGCGGCGGGAGACGGAGCGGCAGCGGCGGGAGACAGGGACAGGCAGAGACAGACAGACAGCGGCTCCCACGTCCTCGCCGCGCACAGTCCGATGCCCGGCAGCTCGAGGCGAGCAGCGACTACGCTTTCCTGCCGTGGCACAGCGTGTACCTCCAGCCTCGGAGTTTTCCTGAAGCAGCCGTCACACCGGGAGCACTTCTGGTAGAGAGGGACCAGGAGACCCCGAAATGACTTACCTCCCGAGGCTCGACTGAAGGGGACTTACTGGAGTGGAACCGTAGTGGAATTTGGGTCTGGAGAGGAGTTGCTAACGCTTTTTTTTTTTTTTTCTTATTTTTTTATTTTTTATTCTTCTCTCTGATCACTCCCTTCTTCGTCCATCATTGGAAATGAACAAATTGCGTTTGCAATTCAGAAAGTAGAAATATTAAATATACCATCCCCTGGGAAGCACACATGTAGTAATGACAAAGGATTGCAAAAGAGAGAGTGGCTCCAGTTTCCCAGAGAGATCCCCTAAAATGGATTACTAAATGGGACACTACATCAGCTAGTTGTCCTCTAGCTGCCCAGATACATGCACCGAAAAGGTACAGTACCCACCCCGTCCGTACCCGTACCTTATGTTTTGGGATCGCTCGGAAGGGGAGGCTCACGGATCGCCCGGCCGGCTCGGAAGGAGCGAGGGTGGTGGTGTGTGGTTTGAGGCGGGCTGCCTCTGCCTTCTGTCTCGACATCGTTTGCAGCGCCTAGGGAGGAGGAGACCCTCCCGCAAGTGTACACGCTGCGCTTGGTGTTGTCACTTTACCGGCATCTCGTGGCTTCATCTTTTTTTCCCTTTTTTATTTAACCCTCATATTTTTCTTCCCTTCCCCCCCCGCCCCCGACCCCAATTGCCCAACATGTTATCCTCCCTCCCCTAACCCTTGGCGCGGGTTGCGGGCGCTGGGCTGGGGCTCCTCGGCTCCCATCCCCGAGCCCTTTCTGGCGGGGGTCGCGCCCGCCCGGGCGCCGCGGGGAGCTGGCCACCGCGGGACGCCGCCGCCGGGGCCGCCGGGCATCGTGCGGGGCTGGTGCCGGGGTCTTTGTTACAACAACTATGTGTGCGCTCCGTGCAGAGGCGTAACCCCGCCGTCTCTGCCGTTCCCGCGGTGTAGCTGGGTCGCGGCCGATGTGTTTCTTTATTGGTTTTTTCCGGGGCTGGCGCTGCTTTTTGGGGGAAGTGGCCGGGAATCGAGGCAACTTCTTCCGCGGAGCAGCCCTAGGCGCAGCCGCGGGCTTTGTTCGCGATCGTGGGCTGGGGCCGCGGGCTCACCTCCCCGCCCGCTCCCCACGGACAGTGGCCGCCGTCCCCTCCGCCCCGGCCCCGGTGAAGGTGGGCTGCCGGCCGCCCTCGCTCAGCCCCGCCAAGGGTGCCTCTGGGGTAGGGATGTTCCCCGCCCCTTTCTGCCGGGCGCCTCCAGCCTCTTCCCCCGTGGGCCGGCGGCACTGCCGAGCCGCTGCTCCTTGGCCGGGGAGCGCCGGCAGACGGGCTGGGCAAGGCCAGACCCCTCCGTGGCCGCCCGGCGGGCGGGAAGCCGTGCGAGGCAGCGCAACTCTTCTCCCTCCGCCCAGCGCTCGCCCTGTCGCTCCTTCAGCCCCTCTCCGCCCTCGGGCTCCGGGCCAAATGGGAGAAACGGCGGAAAAGAGAAAGTTTTCTTAATGGCGAGTAGCAGGGCTGGCCCTCCAGGAGAGGCTCACGCTGGCGACGCGGCGCCCCGCAAACGCCGCACGCCGCGCGGACCGCTGGGGCCGGGCGGGGACCGGGAGCGGGGCTCCTTCGTGCTGTGGATGCTGAGGCTGGGAGGAACGCCGAGGAGGGGACAGCGTGATGCTGAGGTGAGGAAAGGATGCCGAGCATGGAACAGGATGGTGCTGAGCGGAAAGGATGCTGAGCAGGGAAGGGATTTCACTCTGCACGCACACACCCTGTCCCTTCTGTGCGCGGGCAGGGAAGGCTCCCGTGCCTCCGTCCTGCGGGGCGCTGGCGACACGGCGGCGAGGCACGGGGGGCGGCGGGGCTCGGGCAGCCCCTGGGGCGGCCGAGGGTCAGCGCCGCCCCTCGCCCCGCCGCCAGGGAGGGCGGTGGAAAGTTTGGGTCTCCATGCGTGAGGAAAGTACCTGCTTCTTGCGAGGGCCCTTCCTTCGTGCCTGACTGCCGCGCCGTCCAAGGGAGGCGCTCCCGGGGTTGGACCGGACGGCGTGCGCGCAGAGGGCTGGCGAGGAAAGCGGGGCTGAGGCTCAGCCCGGTCAGTTGCAGTGGAGATGCCCTTCTGCCTGTCGCCACCGCCTCTGTCCTGCCTGGCTCATCCCGGGGTGAGTCTCAAGGCAGTAACTGCTGGGTTTCCCTTAGACAAACGGCTTTGTCTTTTTCTAGCCCTGGCCGCTTGTTCAGGAGATAATTTGTTCTCCTGTTCCTCTCCCGAGATAATTGCTGCTTTTGAAGTTTGTAAACATGCGCGTTTGTGCCAGTGTCTGTGCAGCACGGATGTTTAGCTGCTGCAGAAAATTATTTCACTGATGGAACAGCAGAAGATAAAGGCTTTATTTAGGTCTGTGATAAACTGTAAAACATACTAATTCCTGACGCTGCAAGCAAGTCGAATGCTTCATTTTCTAAAGGAGCACACACAGCATGCAGGTGTTGTAAATAACGAAGTGCTAAGTGTCCACAACCATTTTCTGTCACAGGGCTGCACGAAGTTGATTATTATTTGACATAGATTCTTCTAACGTGTTTTGTATCATCCAGCAACGATATAGTTACTAAATTGGCCTCAAAGATAGTAGCTAAAGGTGTGATTTTCCTCACTGTCTTTGCAGCAATTATTTCATGCTTTTGGTGTGCATTCATTAAATTTAAGTGTCATCCAGTAAACCATTCTTATCCAAGTAATCTTTACTTGGTGATTAAATCCTTTGACATCAGGATGACAAAGTCCAGTGCAGTCGGGCTCTTTTGATTTTTAAAGTCAATTCTCAAAATTCATTGAGATTTTGTAGCTTTCTCTCATGGTAAGATTTATGCAGCTGTTATCATGCTCATACCATTTTTTTCAGATTAGAAACATAAAGTGATCTTGCTGTTGTTAGTGTCTCTTTTTTTCTTTCTTTATTTTTTTATAAATGAGACTGTTCTAGTGTATTGTGAGGAAATTCAGATCTGCTCCAGCAAATCTGTTTCTTCATGGAATTGCTTGAACATGGTTGAAAGCAAGTGCTGCAGTAGGATCGGGGAGGTTTGTCTCTGTTAAAGAAGTAGAGTTGCCAAGGTGTTTCACTGTCTAGGGCATCCTTTTATCTAATAGGAGCCTGGTTTTAATATCGTAGCTTCTTATAAGTTACAAGACAGAGAGAAATGACTCTCTCTAAAGCCGAATAATTTCATGTGCATAAAAAAGTTGATTTCCGTTCTCCACCACTCTTCACTGGAGAAAATCTCTGGCATTCATGGAAGCTTTGCTCAGGAGCAGCATGCCCAGATGAGATTTCCGCCTAAATGCTAAAGAAAATTTTAAACAGTAAGTAATATTGTAATGTGTATTTGCAACATTTGCTTGTCATGTACTAGGCACCAAAGGCTTGAAGCACAGGTGAATGCTTTCAGAGACTACAAACAAGGCAGTCACAGATGTTCTGTGTGTTCTCAATTAGTCTACTTGAAAACTGTGTATTCTTGCTTAATGGCAAACCAGCCTTATCAACTGAACTCATACTACTTGAACCAAAAAATAATTGGGCACTGACATCTATGAGGAAGATGGCTAGTTAACATTTCTAGCTGCTTGAAGATGAAAGTGAGTATCAGACATAGTCCCTTTATGTTTGCAAATAGAAGATTGCAGTTACTGGTGTTTAAGACTGAAGAAGGAGGTGGATTGGGCTGAGAATGAAGAGTTGCCTTCATTAAATTTTTGAAAGGAATTAAAAAAAAAAAAAAAAAAGAGAAAAAGGGAAAGACAGAGATCAAACTAATGACCTGTGAAAAATCCAGACTAGAATTGTTTGCATTAGAAAGGAAGTAGGTGATTGTGAACTTGCTTGTGCATGTTTTGTGAAGGGAAGGGGAAATTTGTCATCTTGTTTTGAAGAGCCATACATAAATACACATGAAAGGAGCTCACATGGTTTACAGCAGGGGAGACATAAAATGTTTTAGGATTAAATTGACCTGAGCTAATACATGTCTTACATTCAGCTTCTTTGCAAGAACACATTGTTATACTACTGAAACAAATGTTTTGTGTATAGTACCTGATTCCCATATGCTGTAGCAGAATGCTGAAAACAAACAAGCCAGTAAATCCTGAAATTCTGGAAAACAACATTGAAATTATATTAGATGCAGCATATGCTAGAGAAGTTGAACTGTACTAAACCAGAAGTTTTCACTATCACTATTTGATACAGATGCTGCAGTACTTGACCTGCTACTATTCATTTATTGATGAAGTAAATCTTTAGCCCTCACCTTTTGCAATCTCATTCACCCGAGTAAGCTTTGCTGACCCAGGAACGCCTTGCCTGCCGGAGCAATTTTCTAAGAGTAAATGCAGTTGCTGAAATATTACTTAAATGTGGACCTTTTTTTGTGTTTAAGCCGCAAGCTGAAAATACTGTCCTCTGCTGGGAATCAATACTTGTTAAGAACCTGAAGCTATCCTCTGAGCACATTTGGATTGGACTGATCCTTAATGTTATAAGTCAGACCTAGATCTGTGTGTCATGGAGCAAGTCACATCCAACAAATTGTGACAAGCTTTGTTTGACAGGGCAACAGAAAAATAAGAGTTATAAGTAATGCTTTTTACTGGAGACCATTTAAGAATTTCATATTCATAAATTCTGTGTATCAGAATTATTCTTAGGTGGGCAAGACATTTTGACAGCAAGATAAAGTCAGTAGCACAGAGTCCAACTGCTGATCAACAGCATGCAGTAACCATGAACAGCATTCTAACACAGAAGTAATCAGCTGAGGGAGAGCCTGGACCTGAGCCTGACAGATCTCTATAGGAATATTTTCATTTTTGGCCTGTTGCACCAGTTCTCTGAGTAAGGAACAGCTTAAATGTGCATAGGGTCTGTGGGGGTAAAAGTAGACTACTCCAGTTCAAGCACAAACCTGGCAGAGCAGAGTCTGTATGCCTCTATTTTCTTTAGTGCTGTGTTACCCATGGCCATGGAAATAATTGAGTGTGTATGTTTCTGCAGTGTTGAGAGATCTCTAATTTTCTATGGTGAGGGTTGCTTTGGTTTTTGGATCTTGATTGCAACATGTCAATATGGCAGCACATGCCCAAGGCATAGCTTTAGGTTTTAAAGGGAAGAGTGCCACCTACTGTGTTATAATTTTAGGTATTGCAGCTCCTCTGTGTCTTGTGGAGTTCCCAAGCTTCTCATTTGCCTATTTTATTCTAGCCTCTGGAAGATGTGAAAGGATTCAAAACTAAATGTAGCATGGGAATGGAGGGAGAGAAAAAAACAGAAAATAAGCAAAAAAATTAGGGTGTTCTGGAAGTCTTAGGAGGGGCTCTTTGAAGGACAGGCT